ATTAAGATTCATGAGTAATGTTAATTTTACCTTATTTCCCTCCACTTATAATAAAGTACAAATAAAAAAAAAATCTAACACTCAGCCTGAATCAATTTTTCTCCTTGCCTAACACAATAAGGTGATTTAAGTACAGTCTACTTGTATTACACATACAAGGCCAGGTTATAGAAAGCTATGCAGTATATACATATAAAGGAACAAATATATTGGCAATGGCACTGGGTAGAGACCTATCTATTATGTTTATTATGAGTCCTGCAGAGCAAATTCTTCCTAAAAAATTATCAATTAATTTAATTATTAATTTGGAAAAATAAAACCAGCACAGATGGTAGAAAGAAATGAACTATGGAGTCAGACAGACATAGCTCTGTCTTCTAGTTATGTGATCACAGGGCTTTAGCATCACCAATGAGTTTCCCTCTCTTGAAAACAGAAATTATGGGGCACCTGGGTGGCTCAGTGGGTTAAAGCTTCTGCCTTCGGCTCAGGTCGTGATCCCAGGGTCCTGGGATCGAGCCCCGCGTAGGACTCTCTGCTCCGCAAGGAGCCTGCTTCCTCCCCTCTCTCTCTCTGCCTGCCTCTCTGCCTACTTGTGATCTCTCTCTCTCTCAAATAAATAAAATCTTTTAAAAAAGAAGAAAAGAAAACAGAAATTGTAATATTGGCCTTGGAGGGCTGTAGTGGTAATGAAATGAGATACTACATATAACTGGCCTAACCTGCAGAAGGCAAGAAAGGTGACTACATAAAAGGAATCCAAACATATCTGTACACTCAATGAACATATTTTAGCCAGGGCTAAAATCCTCTTATAATCTTGCTATAAGAAGAGCACCTGACTAATCCCATTGTTTTGCAACATTTACTTTAACTCTGTTCCTGATTACTTCTTTCATGTTTAAATATGTTCTTAAAATGGGGCGCCTGGGTGGCTCAGTGGGTTAAGCCTCTGCCTTCAGCTCAGGTCATGATCTCTGGGTCCTGGGATCGAGTCCTGCATCAGGCTCTCTGCTCAGCAGGCAGCCTGCTTCCCCCCCTTTCTCTCTGCCTGCCTCTCTGCCTGCTTGTGATCTCTCTCTCTCTCTCTGTCAAATAAATAAATAAAATCTTAAAAAAAAGTTCTTAAATTCTTTGTTAATGACAACTTGGGTCTGTTCCTAAAACTGCACATTTCTTCATGTTAATCTTCTATCCATTTACATTTTTAAGTAGCTCTAACTTTTGACTTGGAATATAAAAAGAGGCAAGGACTGAGGATAACCAACAAGTCTAAAGAATATACTTGGTATATCTGATATACGCAGTATTCTCCAGGTCAGAGGTGCAATATATTCAATATAGTGTAGTTCTTCAGCAGCCTCTGGAGACCATTACTTTTCCATGCCATGTTTTCTACTGCCTCCTTTACAGAGAGTTAACTCTCAACCCAAGAAAATGGGTAACAAATGCAAAAACTGTGCTTTCTCAGAGTACTTCTGAATGCTCCATATTTTCCCTCAGGGGAATCCATTCACCATTAACTGCTTTGCCACCCCATTATTTCTTCTTCTGGAATGCTTACAGACAGTGTCAAAGACTGATGAGCAGACAGCCTAGGCAAGCTGTAGCTGGTTATTTTGCTCTCTTGAAAACAAAGAACACTCCTTTCTTTACATGTTTTGAAATCTTCAAGTCAGTAAGTCAATGACCATTTTTAAGACATGCAACATATGTTCGAGGTGCTACAGAAGACGGGAAAGAGTATCAATGAACAGGGCTACTTCCTGGTTTTTGTATCTAACAAAATGGAGTTATTATAGTGTATTGGAAATCATACATTAAGGAATGTTGGTTAACCAGTCACCCTTGCCAAAATCAGATATGAAAAGAAAACAAAAGTTGGCAACAACGATAGCTCTGATATTTTTCTTTCAGAATTACATTTAATAAGGTTAAATATAATAAAGAGTGCATTAATGTTCCTACCTGATTTAAAATAGAATCTGTAGAAAATTCATAACTATAAAACTTACAAATTCATGTAACCTAACTTATGTAACTACTTCTATTGTTTCAAAAAATCACCAACTTAATTTTTTACAACTTATTTTTAGGTAATATGTTCCCATATCTTCTCTAGTAAAAAGTCACTAAACTGTATTTTTAACCTAGCAGCTTCTAAAAGGAAGTGAAAGCTGAAGGCTATATGAGGATATAAAAGCAGCCTATGAAATGGTTTTAGTTTTAAACAAAAACTAACATTAACAAGTACAGCATATCTTGTTCTTTCATGGGGCCAGCAAATTGATAGTTAGGGATTTTTTAAGTTACAAAAATAGGATAGAGTAATTATATCTACCAAACACAACAGCCTTTTCAATGGAAAGCAACACTGTAATTTTTCTTCAAAAATAATAGGTAGGGAAAAAAGTTCCTAATTCTATAATATAAGTTAAAATTCCAAACCCTTGGGCGCCACTTACAGGCACAAAACTTTCATTGATTTCAATTATTACACTAAAGGAGAGGGACAGACAGAAAATCTTATTTAATGAGTATGACTTACACAATTTATATTTCACAAATATGTTTTCCATATTTTCAGTTTCTACATCCAAAGAACAAAAAAACTGAAGGAAATTCTGAAATTAAAAATCACAGAATTCTCTTTTAAAAAATCCAAAAGGTCTTTAGACAGAAGGGAACTCCAGACCCATACTACTGGAACACAAAAGTACTTCAAAATCTCGATGCCATATTTTCCTCAAAAAAGTACAAATAAAACTACTGTCAAAAAAGTAAAATATAAAGTTCACTGAACTCTTTTTAGTCAGTGTTTATACCAATAGATGCAAATGAATTTCAACTCCACAGACAAGGAAGTGGAAGGAAAATCACTGTATTTTCAAATTGAGGAAATCAACATTTTACTATAAATGAAGTCTGTAGGTATTACATTTGGGGTGAACAAACAGCATTCTGGCTAGTGAAATTCATTTTTTAAAAATGATTATGCTGATTAGCTCATTATTTCATACACTGCAATACAATCCACTCCTTCAACAAAGAAGGCAAAAAACGCCTACCTTACAACATGCAAAAATTAAACATGGATTATTCAGTTCCTGAATTCTGCCTCCATCTTAGTCCTCTTATTTTGTGTGGAAGCAACTCTAAACAACTTCTATAATTATTTTTACAGTGGTCGCTCCTCTACTATACTCATAGCTCATTAAAAGGACTAGAATGCTGACACTAAGTTATTCACTGTATTCAAAAAGCTGCTCTCATAAGAACAGACAAAATTAACTTCTAAAATTAAAGTTTAATATTTTTATATGGAGCTCATTTGTAGTACCAACTGTCTTCAAAGAATTAGTCTAGTGAGATTTTAAATCCAATCTTCACAGAAGCAGGAAGGTGTACAGAAACCTAGCTCTTGTTACACAAAGTTGTATTTACAAGTGCACACAAAATTATCACAGCCACAAATCTCCTTTCCTCTCAAGACTGCCATGGCAGTGTTGACCAAAATTTTTAGGGTTTTTGGGGGGGGGGGGTGCAACTTCCTGGTAATAAATGAACAGTGGTTTTAAATAAATAAAAATTTAAGCTCAAAAAAGTGCCAAAGCACTTTAGATAATTAACCCAAACCAAGGATTCCTACTGTCAAAGTCGTCTCACAAGGGTAACAAATATAAGACACAGTCTTTAAAATACCCAGAATAAAGGTCAGGAAACTCTACAGGGCAACGGTTAACTATCAGAAAAACATTTCCAGCAACTCAAAATACTCATCAAGACTATGCTGTGCAAACACTAGTCAGATTTCCTAAAAAGAAGGATTACGACTGTCACACTTAAAAGAATTTCCTTTAATATAAAGATTTCCAGTTTCCAAAAAAGGGTCAGGCCGAAAACGGCTGTTCTGTTACCTTACACGTACCGTAATGCATAGGCACATAGGACTCTCTGAGCCGAAGCCCACTGCACTGTGGTCCCTGGAATCTCGCAGCCGGCGGGTAGCCCGCTCAGCTAGCTGCACGGAGCAGGAAGCACCGCACCCCAGCCACGGTCCCCAGCCACGCCGGAGAGGCTGCGGGGAGCAGTCACCACTGCTTTGAAACTGAATGGCTGACACATCCGGTCCTGGCTCTTACACCACTCCGCCAAAAGCAAACTTCAAAGGCCAAATTCAAACTCCAAACAGAAGTCACTCAAGTCTTAGTGGCGCTGTGAGCATTCCCAAGAACATGTGGAGCCCCTTGAGGGACGCAGTGAGAGAACCCAAGTCCTAAAATATTCCAAATCCCCGAGTTTGCAGCCTACCCGCCCACACCGCTTTGACAGGCGTTACGGAGCCTTCCACCCCGAGAGCCCTGCGGTCGTGCTGCCTTCGGCCGATTCCCGGCCCGAGTACCTGACAAGGGGCTCTGCCTGTCAAGGTCCGGTATACCTCGCGGCGTTCTCCGCGCCCCAGCACCCCCACCCGGCCTAGCGCTGGGCTCCGCACCCACTCCGCCCCCTTTTTGACCACCGCCTGCCTGCAGGCTCGGGCCTCACCCCCAGCAATCCCGGGACTCTTCTCCGGGTGCCGCCGCTGGGCTCTTGCCCGCCCTCCGGCCCAGTCCGGAGGGCAGCGCCAGGGTCCCGAGCCGGGTCACTTCGGAGAGTCCCGATTCCGGGAGCCCCACAAAGCCAGCCCAGGGCCCCACACCTTATCTCCACGGGTCCCTGCAGCGCGGCTCGCACGCCTGTCACATGTCTGCAAACAATAACAAACTCTCCGGCACGTCCCCGCCCCGGGTCCCCGTTCCGTCCCCCAAGCCAGGTCCGGGCCGCCGCTCGACGCCGGAGGGGTCAAAGGGGGTGCCCGAGGGCTCGAATCCCGGCGAGCGGCGCGCAGCCTCGCTGCGCGGAGCCCCGGGACGCAGTGCGCGGTGCCCGGGATTCATTCATTGCCCTCGCCCGCCCGCCACCCAAGTCCTCGCCGCGTTCCCGGCCACGCTACTCACCCGGCGGGGGCCGCTGCAGGAGGCGGCTCGGCGGCGGGCGTCCGCTTCTCCCCGGGCTCGGCCCCGGCGGGGCTCGGGGCGCCGCTGTCCTGGGCGGCCGCGGGCTCCAGAGGGTGGGTGCCGCCACGGTTCGCGACTCCGTGAGGCTGCGGCACCGCCACAGGCTGGAAACCGCTCCCGCCCGCCGCCGGGTCCGAGGGCTCCGGCGACGGGGAAGTGGAAGAGGACGACGGCGAGGCGGCGAGGAAGAGCGGCGGCTCCGGTAGCTGGTCCAGCTCCACACTCCGCACTTTGCGCAGCTGCCGCCGCCGCCAGTCAGCCCGCTCGCGGCCCCCACTGCCCGCCTCCCGCAGCAGTCCCGCGGCTGCCGCGGGCGCGCTGCTCGCCTTGAGAGCCCCTCCGCCGCCGCCCGCCTCGGGGCTCGCCGCCCCGGCGCCCGGGAATCCCGACGACGAGGCGCGATTCCCCGCCGCCGCCGCCATTTTCTCTCGCGGGCTACATTCGCTCGGCCCCTGCGAGGGAGGGAAGGGGCGGGGAGAGTGCAGGGGGAGGGCAAACCGGCGGGCGCTGCGCCGCTAGCGTAGGGCTGCCTGCGCCAACTGCGTGAGCAGGGCCCGCCGGAGGCTTGGCCTGGACCGTCGGGCAGGCGCACCGGGTGCCGCTGGGCCGGGTTGGTGGGGAGATGGTGGGGCGGGGTGGGGAGCAGGTGGAAGGAGTAGGCTGTGCGCCCCGCGTCGCGCACGGGCCGTCGAAATGGGCTGGGACGTAACCGCCGCAAAGGCGCCCTGGGCTTTGCGTGCTGCACTTGCTGGGCGCCAGGTAGTCCCGGGTTACACCGGCGAGAGGAGGAGTCTCGGCGACAACAGCGTGCGGCTTCCTCTGCGCCGCAATCTCGGCCCGGCTCGTCGGGAGGTCGCCTAACGAGAGTTGCAGTTCGAATTTAGGTGTGTAGTGCGTTGAAGGGGATGCAAGCGAGAGGGTTTGCGGTCTGTCATTCTCACTGCCCTTTGCAGTGGGCGTCGGGGAACCCGGGCAAGGGCTAACCCTCCTCCCCCACTCCGCGCGGGAGGCGCAGGTGGCGCCCAGGGTTGTCGCCTGATGCAAAGCGAAAGAAACCCAATATTTAGCACACGTGCAGCCGCGGAGCAACCCCCCCCCCCCAAATTTAAACAAAACAAAACAAAACAAAAAAAACTTTTCTCCTCTTGTCCTCCTCTCCCCCAACGCGAGCTACAAATACAACCTCAGAGTTTCCTGGGATATCTTGTTCACAACCCGAAGTCACCGATTTGGGATATCCCTCTCACCTCCTTCTCCGCCCCCGCTAGATAGAGACTTGGAGGGGCGGAAGTCCTTGTACATCTTTATTTTTGACTCCGCTGTTTTTGGGAAGGGCAGCAGTATACAGGACCACAAAGAGCTTGTTAGAGGAAGGAACCTAGGGCTCTGCCAGAAAGTACTCGATAATGTCATTCTCTGCCAGGTTTTGGCCCTCCCCGAATCCGATGCCTCTGGCGGCACGTCCCTCTTCCTGGCAGGTTCGGGCCACGGTCTGGGTTCCCTCCGGCCCCCGCCCTCCTCCGCTGTCCCCGAGTTGCCTAACCCGGCGTTCGGAACCGTTCTAGTGTTTGGGGCGGTCTCGGAGATAAGGAGCCTTGGGAGTGAAAGAGCACCATTTACATGTTAATGATTTTAGACCTTTCTTCTGACACGTAGAGCTTCTGCGTGGCGTTTATTTCTCCCCTCCCTTCTTTTCCTCAAGCTGATTTGTCCGTGAGGGGAAACCTCCCACAACCGGGGACCTGTATCCCTAGATTTATTTTGTGAAACGTTAATTAAGACAAGGGGGTGGGTGGGAGGGGGAGGGTTCTTCAGGAACAGAAAGAGCGCGATCTTGTCAGTGTTCCTAGAATTACACGTTAAGTCAGTACTGTCTACAAAATAATTCATTTGACTTCTTGGAACTAGAAAATCTTCCCGACTATAAGTGTTAACCGAAAAAGGTGGTGATATTCGAGGGATTTTTAAAATGTTACTGATTTTATATTAGCTCAATGTTTTGAATACTGCTGCTTCTGTCATAAGATAGTTACATTCAACGGTACAAATTTTGAAGTTTAGATAAATCTGTTAAAATTTAAAGTCTACATTTAGGCTATAAATACACAGTATTTTAATGGTTGCCAAGTATATCATCTAAACTAAACACTAGTTATCTCCCAGGTCTTCCAGGGTGCCACACCCAACAAATCCTAAATTAAAAAGGGTCAACTTTCCTCTTTCCTATTTAGATCGAAACACATACTCAGGTACCTGTAAAGGAGAAAAGCAAGTGGATGCCCTTAGCCTTTCAAGATTGTTCCAATTTTGAAATTTGGCCATAATAGCAAAGTAGAACAGGATTCCAGCAAAACTCCTTATTTGTACCAAATACAACACTGTCAACTAGTCCCCAGTTCTCCACACCACCATGGAGAAACCCCAGTACTGGTCTTTTGCCTAGTTTTGATGCTTTAAGTCATTTTGCCCTTGATCTTTTATGTAAATATTCAGCTGTCATTATGCATCTGTACACTAACAAATTGAATTTTTTTTTTTTTGAGGGATAGAGAAATAAAGGACATGCTTGACTGCAAAGGATGTTCTTCCTCTGCCATATGTTATCCAAAGTCTCCTTTGAAGAGGAGTTAACTGGTGGGATTGCAACTGTAGTTTCTCCATCTTAAGCATGGTTAGGACTTTGGCACTGGTTTTGGTGCTATTGGATCCTGCTTTATGTTACTGCTCAAATGCATATCTTGAAGTGCCTTACTTTGATTTCTTTAAAGGCATAAAGTAGACTTGTGTCTTTTCAAAGATTGCTTGTACACTGAAAATTCCAGTTACTATTCCCAAGCTCTTTAGTTCTATCCTTTCTTAGATACAAGCGTTGCAATGATTACATTTATGCCATGACAACTTTACTAACCTTTGTGCTAGTGCTTTACAGATCACTGCTTCTACACAGTGCTTCTGGGAATTGTCACATTTCAATTCCTACACACATTCATTCGGAGGATCTAGTTTAATACTGATGCATTTCTTGGTTGTGCATAAATATCGCTGACCTTAAAATGAACAGATTCAGTATGCACTACCAGAAATATTTCAGACTGCACATCATTCATCATGTATTGATTCATCACCTAGCACTATGCTCATGGGTTTTTCCTCTTCCCTGGGATATTGTTTGTTATTTTTCATATTTACAAAATTAAATGAAACATTCTTATCTGCAAATATTTTTATTAGGTATTTATGAGGCTGACTCTTTGAAGATTTCAGATTCGTGTGTGTGTGTGTGTTTTCATGCTTGTCTGTAAGATTTTATGTCTTAGGTTGACAAAGAGTAGGAATGTAACCTGGAGAATGGAGCAAATGCTTGTGTTCTATTAGATAGATAGATAGATAGATATAATACTTGCAGGAGAGTTGGGCTAGAATTTGGTTTTTCCATACTTTCCAGACACCATATTTCCAGGTGCTTCTACATGTTCTAGGTCAGGAAATCTTGTCATTTGTGGGGTAATTGATCCCCCTACAAGGGCACTGTAGGTGACATTATAGTAGAAAGTTTCTTAAGCAGCCTTCACTTAGCTGACTCATCCAGCAACATTCCCAGTGTGGTGTACAACATGCAGAGGGATGCCAGAGGACAATGAATGCTCATGGTGCCTGTTAACTTCTCCCTCCAGGTGAATTGTGGGCCCCAAGAAAATCTGTCCTACTTGTTCCCAAACCTGATTATACCTATTATAACTGTCCTTACAAAATTTAATTAAACACTATTCAATTAATAAAACAAGGGTGTGTGATTGCAAAAAGAATGTTGTTCCAAAGAAAACTCAAGTTTCAGTTTGGAAAATGAAAGAAGGTGAGACACTGAAAAAAGTCTCTATTGGGCACCTGGGTGGCTCAGTTGGTTAAGTGTCCAACTCTTGATTTTGGCTCAGGTCATGATCTCAGGGTCATGAAATCAAGCCCCTCGGGGGTTGGGATTCATACTCAGCAGGATGTCAGCTTGAGATTCTCTCTTTCCCTCACCCTCTTCCTTGCCCTTCTCAAATAATAGATAAATAAATCCTTAAACAAATCTCTATCAAATTAGTTGTGGATGGGATAACTGTAAAAGATTGGGAAAGCAAGTATATATCAGTTCCCACTTTGCTTTAAAAAACTAAAAAAAAAAAAATGTAGACAGTGAGATATGTGACAATGATACATGAAACTCTAAATAGCAAATGCACACTCAACAGACCAAGGTCCTACAGCCAAATACAGGTTAAAAAACCCAAACCATACAAAACAAAACCCTTTTATTTATGTTTTAGGCTAAAATAAGATATTTAAGATACGTATCTTATAAAGATATGTAAACATACACATATTTATGATTCCTTTTTATTAACCAGCCATCTAAATATTTGGATATATTTGCATGTACTTAAAATCAGAAACTAAATTTTGTAGTAAATAAAAAATAGATGAATTGGGCTTTTCTACTTCAAAATAAAACTACAGCTTATGAAATTGATCTCTCTCACAGTTAGCAAAATTATGCTACCTTTACAACTGCACTGATTCTTTGAATTCTTTGAGTCATGTTGATTAACATTTTCGAAGTATGTTGAGGTGTTCTTTCTCCATTTGACTTTTGTGGTTTATTTGTGACTATTATTTTTGTAAAAAGTATTTGAAGACTTCATACATTACCCTAAGGTCCTCCTATAATAATCAGTTTCTTTGAATTGATGTCCCTTTTGGTTTTCTCTTCCTTTATGGTCTGCTGGTTCAACTCTGTTGAATCTTACACTGAACAGGCTTTACATGTGAGCTAAGTACCACTTCCAGTGGCTTAATTAGCTTCTGCATCTTTTGCAACATTTGCACCTTTACTTGCAATTGATTTGCATTGTTTTGGGGTGAAAACTGCTAAATAGGTATACAAAATTGGCGTCTGCTAGAGCAGTGCTAATAAAATATAATGCAGGCCACAAAGGCAAGTCACATATGTAATTTAAAATTTTTAGTCTGCATTAAAAAAAAGTGACATTAATTACTATATTGTGTTATTTTTATATAGTACATCCAAAATATTACTATTTCAATATGTAATCAGTATATAAAATATTATTCATGATAACTTTTACCATTTGTGCTATATCTTTGAAATCTGGTGTGTATTTTTTTAAAAAGATTTTTATTTATTTAACAGAGATCACAAGTAGGCAGAGAGAGAGGGAGGGAGAAGCAGGCTTCCCGCTGAGCAGAGAGCTTGATGCGGGGCTCCATCCCAGGACCCTAAGATCATGACCTGAGCCGAAAGCAGAGGCTTTAACCCACTGAGCCACCCAGGCGCCCCTGGTGTGTATTTTATACTTCAGAACATCTTGAACATCATTTTAGACTCACCACATTTCAGATGCTCAAAAGACATATGTAG